ATTAAAAAGATGGGCCATTTGAACTATTTTTGTGTAATAGTTAATTAGGTTTTCAGTGTATTTTGAATTAATGTCTCAAAAGATGGTTTAACTTTGAAATTTTGTTGAACTTGAATCGAACTACGATTTGCATATCCTGTGAAAATACAGCTTATTGCTGAAAGATGTTAAAGCTGCTGAAGAAGCTGAAACTGTTTAATAACAAAACTTTAATTTGGACATTTGCTGAAAAGAAAGTAAATATGTGAAAAATCTTTAGAAAAAAATAAAAATGTACAGAAAACAGTGAACAGAGCAGACATGTAGCTAAAAATAACAGTAAAAAAAGTTGGATTTAGCAAACAAACAATAAAAGGAAAAGCTTACTGGCTTAAATAAGCTGAAATTAGCACAAAGAAACAGAGCTGTGATGTTTGCTGATATGAGCAGTAAGAAAATGAAATTATCGCAAAAAAGGTGAAGTTCGTGAAAAAGCTCAAATTAGCTGAAATCAGCTTAAAAAAAGTAGTTTAAAAAGACAAAAACAGCTTAAATTAGCATAAAGAAACACACACAAAAATTAAATTAGTAGAATAGCAGAAGGGAGCTGAAAGACAGCTGAAAAACCATAAAAAACTAAAATAAAAAAAGAGGCGTTGAAGGAAGCTGAAATTAACACAAAGAAGCAGAACCAGAGTAAAAGGTGAAAAGAACAGCAAATAAACATATCATCACAAGTCATATCATGAGCTGAACATTTTAATATATGAAATAGTTGAAATAGTACATAAATTTTACAGAAGAAACATGGATCATCTCAACACTGTTGGAAGGTCAGTGTTGCAGACACATCCACAGTAACACTGCCATTATAAAATTATTATTACTTACTTACAAATACTTTTACAGTTGAAGAACGCATTTTCACTGTGGCAGCACAAATGATCATATCATCATTAATATTCATAATAATATAAATAATCTATAGATCAGACTGGTTTGTAAATATTAATATATAAATTGCACAAAGGAAAATTAACTGTTCTACAATGATGTTCCATCGGATTATATTGGGTAAATGTTTAAATATTTAAAATAAATATTATTAATGGGTCAAATATTAAACTTAAAATCAGAGGATTTAATGTTAAACAGTGTTTTTAGATGTTTTTAGCAGCTGCAGGGTTTATTTCTGGACTATCATTACCTAATCACGACCGCAGGTCTCGCGAGACTTTGCGAGATGTTAAGTTGAAGAAACATGGCGTCGCCTAATTTGTTGAAGGTAGGAAGCAGTTTAATATTTCCCGTGTTTATGTGCTTATTTACGTTTATGGTCGTTGTATCTCTTGAGGTTAGCTTCGGGTCTTTACCTGCAGCGTCCCAGCTTCCAGTCACGACCGCTAAAAATTCAAGTTATGTTAAAATTTTCACATTTTGCTGCGGCTGAAGTCACAGTTGTCGCAGCAGAAGTCCGGTGTTCTGCCGGGGTTTGTTACCCCGATCATGTACGCCCCCTCACCCCAAACCCCCAACTCTGTGCACCTCTGCAGAACCCGTCCTCGGATCAAAACTCTCACCTCTCTCTGATTCGGAACCAAAGCCCAAACGTAGCCCATCCAGACATTCCCTGCGACGACGAGCCCGAGAAGAACCAGCCCTGAAAACGAAGGGAAAAAAAAACAAAACACGGTTAAACTTTGACACGAGAAACCTCATTTTTTTCACACACCGTTCTGTCTGGGTTGTATTTCAACAAGCTAACCTCTCTTCTGAATCCAAAGCCTGTGTCTGGAAGGCCTCCTTCAAAGAGGAAGGTTTAAAGTGAACAGATAAGCAGGGCTCGGTTTAAGTTCTGCAGGCTTGGAGGTCCTGGCCACACCTGTGCTCAGGTGTTGGGCAGTCTTGATGCTTCAGCAGCTCAGGACATTCTGGACAAAGTTCTGCTTCAAGGATTAAAACAGTGGTGGGCAACTGTTTATTTATTGCCCGCCCTGAGCAGGACTGGGCCGGACCAACAAGTTAAACTCAGTTCTACCAAAAACAACATTATATATAAACTTTTACAGTATTGAATATTAATATGTATGTTTTTGCAGTATTTCAAACATCGTCATCATTTTAAAAACACACTATATATTTTAAGTATTTCTCTTTCTTCATTGAAATCAGTCTAACTTTTGTTGAGTTTGACATGAGCGTGTGTGTTTAAGATGCTCTGTTTATGCAGATTGATCTCCCTCCCCTCCCTCTTGAGGATCATTAGTACTTTTCTCCACAAACTGAACAATCTGCTTTGCTTTTGAATTCAGCCTAGAAGTGACATTCTGCACCTGAGTAGGCAGGAAGTGGCGAGATCAGATGTAAACATTAGACGAAACAAGTGTAGCAGGTAATGATAGTTGACTCTGCACAGCTTTAGAATCAATCCACACATGCTGACGTGTAGTATCCATGGTCCATGGAGTGCTGGGTGGGACATCCTCTGCAGGTCTCTTCAGGGCCGTGGACTGCTCACGCAGGAGTCTGATGGCGGTCATATTTAAATTATTATGTGCAGATTTAAGCAAAGAAAATAGGACATATCCTTATAAATCCACATCCTGTTTAAAAGGTCTGTGTTCGGTGCATGTTTCGTGTTAATTTCTAACAAACTTGGCTACCAGTGGAGCGCACAGAGAGGCTGAACTGGACGCCTGCAGACCTTCAAAATAAAAGCACAGATTTTTGATTTGTTCACAATGATTTTTATCCTATCTCTGCCTGTGAGTGAACCATAAAGATGCGGTTTGATGACTCTGATGTGAATGAACGTGACAGAATTGTGACCTCAGCCCCGTCAGGCACCTTTAGGATGAACTGGAACAAGTTTTTGAGCCAGACCTTCTTATCCAACCATCGTAACCAACCTTATAAATGCTATACAGAAAATGAATGGGCACAAAGTTGAACAGAAACACTCCTAAAACTTGTGGAAAGCTTTCCAAGAACTTTTTTACTTATTTTTTTATTGTCCTATGTTAATTCGTCTGATTCCTCCACGTGTTTCGCGTCTCTCCTCCAGAACAAGGGGTCCCTGCAGTTTGAGGACAAGTGGGACCTGATGCGACCCATCGTCCTCAAGCTGCTCAGACAAGAGGCTGTCACCAAACAACAGTGGTTCGACTTGTTCTCGTAAGAGACACTTTCTTCTCTGCCTGTTTAAATCCTTGTCATTCTCACCGTAGGTTTGCGACACAACCTTTTATTCAACAGCCTGTATGGAAAACACGACTAGCTGCCTTTAGTTCAGTTGATTCTTTAAGAAGTTGACCTCTCAACTTCCTTCGATGTCTTTCAAACATCGAGTCCCAGAACCCTCCCCTCGTTAAGAAGAGCTGTGAGTGATGGTTTAACTGGCTGGGTCTGGTTTCAGTTAGAACCGCTCTCATAAGTAAGATCAAACGTTCTCTGAAACTATCCAAGGACACCGGTAAGTTGCAGCTCTAATGGTTCCAGTCAGAACCGAGCACGGCCTTATTAGAATCAGAAAGTTGGACACTGCTCCCGTCCTCTATTCATGTTGTAATCTGCCTACGAACTGAGCCGCTCAGCCTCCCTGTTCTCAGCAGAGAATTGCAGAACCTTGAGTTCCCTCTCGGGTTAGTTTGCACATTTCTGCAGAGATAAAACCTCAGAAGATAACGCTGGTTTAAGAACTTTATTTCACAGATTTCTCTCCGTGATTTCAGAAAAAGTAAACATAAGTTTTAGACCTTTTAATAAATGCTAACTCATCTTCATATCAGGAATATTACACGTAAGGAGCCTTTCTCTATCACAACATAAAATAACATTAAGACTAATTTATAAATATGTTTGTATGTAAAGAATGTAAGATGTAAAAAAGAAAGATGTTTTAATTTTTTTTATATAATATTAACTTTCAGGAAGTTAATGCGTTTTGTTCTGCAGAGATGTCCATGCTGTGTGTTTATGGGACGACAAAGGTCCGGCTAAAATCCACCAGGCCCTCAAAGAAGACATCCTCGACTTCATCAAACAAGCACAAACTGTAAGTTCTGGCTTTGTAGACTTTTTATCCTTATTTGTCCTGATGTAGCAGGATCCGTTCAAATAATTTGTCTCTGAAACGTTTGGTTGTTGCCACCGCAGCGTGTTCTGAGCCACCAGGACGACACGGCTCTGCTGAAAGCCTACATCACAGAGTGGAGGAAGTTCTTCACGCAGTGCGACATCCTGCCCAAGCCCTTCTGCCAGCTGGAGATCACGCTGATGGGGAAGCAAGGCAGCAACAAGAAGACAAACATGGAGGACAGCATCGTACGCAAGGTGAGAGGAGAGGAGGGAGGAAAAACTGCAGACGGAGTCGACGAACTTTACCAGGAAAATCACAAAAAATAAGGAGGAATAACGATAACAACCTAATAAAGGAATGCTAAGAATCTATTTTAGCAGATAACTAAATTAATTCTGATAATATTAATTTGCATTTCTGTGTGTTTTTGTGCAGCTGATGCTGGACACGTGGAACGAGTCGATATTTTCCAACATTAAGAGTCGCCTGCAGGACAGCGCCATGAAGCTGGTGCACGCCGAGCGGCTGGGGGAGGCCTTCGACTCGCAGCTCGTTATTGGCGTACGCGAGTCGTACGGTGAGAACAGAACCATTATTTTATCGTCTGATTCACATTAAACAGAAATTCATGTCTAAAGTTTAACAAAATCATACAGTAAACTGGATCTTAAAAATTAAATAAAACTTATTTATAACACGTAAAATATTTTAACATTTTTGACCTGTGTTGGCAAAATGTGTCACTGAGTTATTACTTAAAATTTTTCCTTCTCAAACACCTTTTTTTTAAAACAGGAAAAGATTATTAAAAATCAAGCCTGACTCAGCATAATTGCTGTTTTACAGCAGGCTCCTGTTCTGCAGCACATAAAACACTCAGAATTACAGCATCACAATCACATCATTATACAACATAGACACAAAGACAAACAAGCATACCAAATTTCAAAAAGGCAGCATTTGCAAAATAGGACGTCTAAATATGAGCACAACAAAAAGTGTCCAGCAGATGGCAGACAAGGTTCTTCTTAAAGGGCTGTAGTTTTGAAATGGACTTTATGTTTTGAGGAATGTCATTCCATGCTTTAGTATAAACATAGAAGAAAGACCTCTGGCCGTAACAGTTTTTAAAAGTTGGTAATATCAGTTGTCCTTTTGTAACAGATCTACTTTAAAATGATGCATAGTTTACTGAAATTTGGCAAGAAGCTAGTTGTCTGGAATTCCTGCCTTTATTTAAGACGTTCGTGGTGACTCCAAACATACGATTGGAAAAATTGTTAGTATTTTTTTAAAGATTTAGAATTGAAAAGGTAATTTCTTTAAACAATAAGATAAAACTGAGTTTTTTTCACTGTAGGAAACAGGCATGTAAATCACCAGATTTATCTATGTACGATATTATATCGATTTGTTTGGATGACATTACGGAAATTTCTTTGTCACAAAATAAATTTTAAAAAATGAAAACGTTTAGAACTAAAAAGGTCATTTCTTTAAAGAATAAAATAAAACGTAGACATTTTTAATATTGTAGGCACAGGCGTGTAAATCACCGGATGTATCACGATATGATATACTGATTTGTTTGGATGACGATACTGAAATTTCTTTATTACAAATTAAATTTTAAGAAAATTATAAGGTTTAGAATTAAAAAAGTACTTTAAAGAATAAGATAAAACATTGAGTTTTTTTCCTCTGTAGGAATCAGGCATGTAAATCACCAAATTTATCAAAATACGATATATCAATTTGTTTGAATGACGATACGATATTTCTTTTATCACAAAATTAAAGCAATAAATAATAAAAGGTTTAGAATTAAAAGGGTAATTTCTGAGGAGATTTCTGTGAATAAACTTTGATTAAAAGGTAGATTATGAAGATTATCTTGTATTTTAGTGTTAGATGGTGTCTTTGTTGTTTTTATGCAAATCTTAATCAACAAAAAACTATATTTCTACTTTTCTGTGTGCTACAGCTCATTTTGTTTTATTTCTTTATAATCAACATACAGCAGGTAAAATAAGTATTGAACACGTCAACATTTTTCTCAGTAAATATATTACTAGAGGTACTAATGACATGAAATGTTCACCAGATGTCGGTAACAACCCAAGTGATCCATACATACAAAGAAATCAAACCATAAATGTCCAGAAATGAAGTTATTTGTAATAATGTGGAATGACACAGGGAAAAAGTATTGAACACACTTACTGAAATTTATGTAATACTTTGTACAAAAGCCTTTGTTGTCAATGACAGCTTCAAGACGCCTCCTGTATGGAGAAACTAGTGGCATGCATTGCTCAGGTGTGATTTTGGCCCATTCTTCCACACAAACAGTCTTCAAATCTTGAAGGATTCGTGGACCTCTTCTATGAACTCTGATCTTTAGTTCTTTCCATAGATTTTCTGTTGGATTCAGGTCAGGTGATTGGCTGGGCCATTCCAGCAGCTTTAGTTTCTTTCTCTGAAACCAACTGAGAGTTTCCTTGGCTTTGTGTTTGGGCTCATTGTCTTGCTGAAATGTCCAGCCACGTTTCATCTTCATCATCCTGGTAGATGGAAGCAGATTTTTATCAAGAATGTCTCTGTACATTTTTCCACTCATCCTTCCTTCAATTATTTGGAGTTTGCCAGTACCATATGCTGAAAAACAGCCCCACACCATGATGTTCCCACCTCCAAACTTCACTGTTGGTATGGTGTTTTTGGGCTGATGTGCAGTGCCATTTGACCTCCAAACATGATGTGTATTCTGGCYTCCAAACAGTTCAATGTTGGTCTCATCTGACCAGACTATATTCTCCCAGTATTACACAGGCTTGTTTAAATGTTGTGCAGCAAACTTTAAAGGAGCTTCAACATGCTGTTTCTTCAGCAGTGGAGTCTTGCGTGGTGAGCGTGCATACAGGCCATGGTGGTTCAGTGCATTACTTATTGTTTTCTTTGAAACAATCGTACCTGCTAATTCCAGGTCTTTCTGAAGCTCTCCACAAGTGGTCCTTGGCTCTTGGACAACTCTTCTGATAATTCTTTTCACTCCTCTGTCAGAAATCTTGTGAGGAGCACCTGGTCGTGGTCGGTTTATGGTGAAATAATGTTCTTTCCACTTCTGAATTATGGCCCCAACAGTGCTCACTGGAACCTTCAGAAGTTTAGACATTCTTCTGTAACCGATGCCATCATTATGCTTTGCAACAATAAGGTTGTTCAATACTTTTTCCCTGTGCCATTCCACATTATTACAAATAACTTCATTTCTGGACATTTATGGTTTGATTTCTTTGTATGTATGGATCACTTGGGTTGTTACCGACATCTGATGAAAATTTCATGTCATTAGCACCTCTAGTAATATATTTACTGAGAAAAATGTGACGTGTTCAACACTTATTTTACCCACTGTATGATGGAATAAAATATGTATTCTAACAGTTAATTATAAGACAGGCTTCCAGCCTCAGATAACAACAGTTCATCATTAATACGGTGCAGGTGTTCTGTGTTAAATGATTAAATATTTCTGGACCACCTTCTCTCAACAGTCAACCTGTGCTCTAACCCCGACGATAAGCTGAAGATCTACAGGGACAACTTTGAGAAAGCCTACCTGGACTCCACGGAGAGGTTCTACAGAACACAGGCTCCGTCCTACCTGCAACAAAACGGTGTACAAAACTACATGAAATACGTACGTCACCATAACTCGATTTGATTGTTACGAAGGAAGATGTTTGTTTCACTTTGCAGTTCGGCTCATTTATTATCACCAGGTGAAGCTTCGAATGCAGCTCTGTAAATAAGTGTAAACATCCGGACAAAATCTTTAAATACTAACTAATACTGTATATGGAAACAATCTGAGGCTATAAAAAAACCAGATCATTAGTGAGTATAAATACATTTTTCTCCAACTAAATCCATAAAATTACAGAAGCAGCCTTCTTTAAAGGAGTGCAGTTCATCCGCCAGCTTTCCTACTCATCTTTTAAACAAAGAACTTGTGAGATCTATAAAGAAAAAGATTAAATATTGAAGTTTTTTATTGTAGGAAATAGGGGCATAAATTACCAGATTTATCACGAAACGATATATCGATTTGTTCGGATGACGATACGATATTTCTCATTATCACAAAATGTCACAATAAAATTTCCGTTCAGTTCACAAGTCTGTAGTCGATATGATTTCATCTCATATACCCTTCTAACGCAGTGATTTATGTTAGATGGACATATGACGACGAAATGGATCAATTTTTTCATATCGCCTCGATGTAATAAAAACATTAATCATTTCATCGATATATCGATGTGTGTGTAAATGTATTAATATTAATTATTACATTTTGTTCATTTTTTTTACGTTTCTCTTCAGGCCGACGCAAAGCTAAGAGAAGAAGAGAAGAGAGCGCTGAGATATTTAGAAACGTGTCGTGAATGTAACTCTGTACAAGCAGTAAGTGACTTTAACTGTCTTCTAAAAATAAACCACAAATAATATGATATTAATGAAGCTTTTATCTGTTAATCAGTCAGTTTTATCAGTTTTGAGCTAAAATTTGTTGTGATTTTGACTAAAACGACTCCAATTTCTGTCATTTCGAAAATGCCACACCATTTTTCCTATATTTTTTTATTGTTTGTTTGTTTGTTTGTTTGTTTTTTTATTTATTTATTTTTTTTACAGCTTATGGAGTGTTGTGTTAATGCTTTGGTGACGTCGTTCAAGGAGACCATCTTAGCCGAATGTCCTGGGATGATCAAATGCAACGAGACGGAAAGTGAGTGAAACCTTGTTTCTGCAAGACTCAGACTAATATCTGCTGCTGTTCGAGGTTTCAGGTTCATCACTGCATCCAGCAAGGCTTTAAAAATAGAAATGACTTCTCTGAATGTTGGTTTTTTGCCGAGGGGAGAAGAAGGTTTGGAAAATAAACACTAAATTCTGGATATACTCAGTTTTGGTGCAGAAATACACTTGAATGTTTGGTATTTTTGTTGCTAGCTGCTAGTGACAAAATGCACAAAAAATAAAAGCTGATTTTTTTAAATTCTTTCTCTGATCAGAGCTGCACCTGATGTTTTCTTTAATGGATAAAGTTCCCAGTGGGATTGAGCTGATTCTGAAGGATTTAGAGGAGCACATCGTTAATGCAGGACTGGCAGACATGGTGGCTGCTGCTGAGACCATCACTACTGTACGTTCACTGTGTCACATGTTTTAGGTCAAAACTCGCACAAAATAAAAACATAGTTAGCAGTGCCTTGTGTGTTTTCACCCAGGATTCTGAGAAGTACGTGGAGCAGCTGCTAACTTTGTTTAACCGCTTCAGTAAGCTGGTTAAGGAGGCTTTCCAGGACGATCCTCGCTTCCTTACAGCCAGAGATAAGGTCTGCTTTTATTTTTTAGAACACAACATGCACCTGGCTGTTTTAAATATTAACCACCTCTGGATTTCAATGAAACATCTGTTAATTTTTATTTTAAAAAGTTAATAATTAGACTTTTTTTTTATTTATAGGCACCTTTTTTGATGCTCAAGATCAATTTACATCTCCATAAACAGATGTTATATTACAAATTAATCATAATAATAATAATAATAATAATAATTATATATATACAGTATATTATATATTAGAATATACAAGTATATAATATCTAGCTTATTTCATCACAATAGTAACATTGAAAACAACGATAAACATCATCAAAGGTAAACTACCTGTTCTAAACAACAGTTTTAAAGAGAACCACCAAACGTCATTCATATATACACTCACCGGCCACTTTATTAGGTACACCACGCTAGTAACGGTTTTGTGGTCATAAAGGGATGGACATGGTCAGCAACAATACTCAGGTAGGCTGTGGCGTTGCAACGATGCTCAATTGGAATTGTAAGAACCCTCTCCTCTATGAGATTAATAC